GCAGGATTTCCTGTTTTGACTCCTAGTTACTCTACTGCTGTATCTCAAACGTCTGGAGTCATACACCGAAATAGCCAGCAGATGCCATCAGTGCCTTGTAAATGGGCTTGATTGTGCAAATTGTTGACTTGCCAGAATTTTACAGGAAGTCAAACACAACTGACTTACTGAAACTCTGTCTGCATGAATATTGTTTTAATGTTGATTTTATGCAGAAGTGTGTGCCAAGATGTGGTGGATTTCTTTGTGGGATGGTGTGAAAATAATCCTATAATCTTGAGCGAAAAGGGTGATCAGTGTAGATTTCATGTGAAACGGGAATATGCAAAATGCTATTTCTGTTGTGGTTGAAGAAGTTGAGGGGGTGAAGAGTAAATATCACAGTGTTCACTTAAACCACAGACCAGTCAACAGTGAAGCTGTCAGCAAAAACAAACGGAGTAGAATATACTTCTCAAGGAAGCTCAAGTCATGCTTGCACCAAGATGCAAAGTATCAGAGCCAATATGAAATGAGTGTGCAATGATAAACACATCATAAAATAAGAAAATAATTTATAACCCTGAAGAAGACTGTCACACAACAATAAAGTTTCTTCAGTCAGAGGTTTATTTACATTTGCTGTGTTACAGGCAGGTACAGATGAATCTTCCAGTCAACAGCCAACACCAGCTATAATATCTAAATAGTCTTTTGAAGAGTTATTACAATGTTTATGTTTTTCTTTGGATCAAATAGTCTCTTTAAAGTGAATTTAGTTTAATTTTAAGCAATCAGTCAACAAATTCTATAGACTGGTTACTTAAACTGTGAGTCACAACTTTAACCATCTCTCAGCTTTCCATCATAGTCCAACTTCGATGGACAGCAGAAGATTCTGGTTGTGTTCTTATGTCATTTTAATATTTATTTTACTTCTAAATAACATTTCCGAAAATCAGTTTGAGTACAATTTCCTTTTAGCACTTTTGTACACGTTGCTTATTTTCCATTTTAAATCTTTTAATCTTGATTGAAGACTTGATTCCCTAAATTCTAGTCCAAAACTTATTTTGTATAATTATTTGCGCTCTACGGCATCCCAGCTACGGATGAATGCAATGTCAGGAGAAACCATCAATCTGAGTAGTGACTGCATATTTGAACCAGAGTAAATGTGATGTACTTTTTTCAGGAACATGTTCCCATGATTAGAGGAGTAAAAATGCACCAAAAGAAGCCCAGAAGCTTCCAGGGTTGTGGTATCATTCCCAAAAGGTTCCAAGGCATACACAGTATTCTGAATGTGAATAAGCAAATAACCCCCAAGGACAACTAGTTAAAATACCAGTAAAAACATGTACAAAATAAGGATTTATTTGAAATTAAATCCTACTGTACTGCCTTTGCTGGTAAAGGTTAAGCAGGTAGTGTGATGTTGAAATCTAGAAATATGTTGTGATGATTGCCACAACTAAGGAGGAGGATGAGATTAAAAAGATGAGACAAAAAATGTAGTTATTTTGAGATTAAGTTGAGATCAAATATTAAACATGATGAGCAAAGGAACATGCAAAGCTCATATCTCCAGAAAGCATCTGTGTGAAGATAGAGTCCAGCAGTAACAGTTGTAAATACATGTGAGTTTGCTGACATGTAAAAGTGAATTCAGAATATTTAGCAGCAGTTCTTTTCAGAAACTTTAAGGCATACACCTGGAACGACTAAAAGAGCCAAAAATTATAAACTTCTGGTGACTCTTTAGGAAGTTTTATACGATTGGACGGTAATGACACAAAGTTATACAATGTACTATTTAGGCTTCTGGAAATCCAGTTTGTGTTGTAAAAGCTGTTCCTTTTTGAATTTGTTTTATATGTTTTTGTTTTTTATTATATTGTATTTTTCTTGTTTTGTTTTGTTTTATTTTGTTGTGTTGTTTTATTTTGTTGTTTTGTTGTTGTTTCATACCATTGTTGCTGATACAATATGAAATATTTTGAGTAAATACAGTATGTGATGCAAAAGCAATGTACAAGTAATACAATAAAATGGATTTTAAATCTGTAAATCTTGTATATTTGGTAAAACATTATTTTGGACATGAGAGCATCTACTCAGTTGCACATACTTGCAAACCGAGTACGTAAGTTTGTATTGAAACTGACACATGAAAACTTCCCTCGTTCTGAAGCTTCACACTAAAATCCTGTGGTGTGGTTGGTTTTATTTAGACTCTTTACCAAATCTCACCATGTTGCAACAATTCAAAAAGCCTAACTGTATTTTGAACAGCGTCATCTGTAAAACCACAGAATGAAATGTTCCATTCAACCAGCCAATCAACAGCTGCTTCTCCTTCAATGGAAAGATCTATGTCATCTTATCGACCTGTAAAAACCTGCAAGACTTTCTTCAAGCTCCACCATGGATGGACTGCAGACAATTTTGTTTTTTTTCTTAGGTAACCTTTTAACATTTGAGTAACATTTACTTTCCAAAAATATAAACAATCTTGATGTCATTCTATGCTGATCACAACGTTATAATTTATTTTTCTTTCAGGACTAGTATTCTGCAGTCATTATTGCATTTCTGAATCAGTGCAGGAGGTGATCTTCAGCCCTGGAGAAAACATCACTCTATACTGTGACTGCAAAGCATCAACTGGAGTATTTGTGGTCTGGTTCTTCAGGAACTGCTCCCTTAGAGACCAGTCTCATTATGTTTTAAATGCTAAGGATCAGATAAGAGAAGACACAAAATTTCCACGTTTGAAATTTTTAAGAAATGATTCTTCAGAATCTTATGACCTACTGGTTATAAATGCTACTAATTCAGATGTGGGCTTCTATTACTGTGGAACCGAAGAGACAAAAGTGGAGATAAACAATGAGAAGAACATCTTCCAGAAAGACATTTTTACGTATGGAAATATCTCTACAACTCTCATACTCGGTAAGCAGTTTTGAATTTTCTATGTATTGTGTTGCGACTTGAGTTTCCTAAGAAAAGCTACATTTAAAAATTAAGTGACAACAAAGATTACATTTTTTCTTGAACACAAAAATAGGTAGAGAGGAGAAACATTACAATATTCCAAATGTAATGTATTATGCATTGACTTTGGCACACGATTTGTAATTTCAGGGTATATTAAGTTTAGAAAGGAGAAACGGGCTCAAACTAAGAAAAATACTTCACCAAACTTAAAAGTTTGGTGAAGTATGTTGGATGTTGGATTGAGTATCTCATAGCAAAATATGAGTTCTGAATAGAAATATTCTGTACATTTAATTTAAAAAGAACTTTGTGTTTGATCAAGACACCTGTGGGCCCTGTTCTGACTTTAAGAAGACAGCGGAGGACTGCGATGCCTGCTGGAAGCTGCTCTTCTCTCTGTGCCCGACTATTTTTCTGCTCTCTGTTGTTTTCTCCTCACTTTTAATTTACCTGCTTTGTCACAAGACAGGTACTACAATAATCCACTCTTTTGCTCATTTAAAGTTAAGCTATTGTAATGAAATATTACTAAGTGGATATTTTCCTTCTTTAAGGTAAAGGTAAAGAAGATCAATCTGAACAAAAAAGATACATGGAAGAGATGCAGGTAACGATACAGACTTTTTTTTTTTGCCCGTTGGCGAGCACAGGTATTCTTTGTGCCACAATTATTTGCCCTTGTGTTGTAGTTACATTTTTCAATGAAAATCGTCAAGTCTGTTATCCTTTTTTTTTTTCATTGTCCTTCCACTATATAAAGATTGCTATAATATTATGTTTTAATAATTCTGAATTTCAATCTTAGGATGAAAACATTTGCTATGCTGCCTTGGAATTCCATCAGCCATCATAGAGACCAAAGAAAACCAAAATGAAAGCCAAGTACCACCAATGAAGATCCCCATTCTCCTTGGATATAATCTGACAAGGATCAATGTTCTCTCTTTTATTGTATCATCCTTCAAAGCTAGACTTTGTCAAAAGTTTTTCATCCTTTTCATAAATGTTTATGTATATTTTTAACATGTGGTTGAGGAAAAATTAGGTTGCTCGTTAAATACTTATTTTTTTTACGTCTAATGTATTTCTTTTTGTTTCTGTGAAAGAAAATTATTTAATTGCACTTCAACACTAAAAGGACACTATGTTTTATGATAGCAAAAAACAAAACAAAAAAAGTTTTCTAGCTGTCAAACAAGTTAGGGAACCCTCTCTAGCTGTAGTTACACATTTTCCCTGAAATAACTTCAGTTAGAAACTTCCCGGAACAATCTAACAGTCTAAAAAGAAGTTTTCCCCAATCCTCATTTACAGCTTTGATGTTTGAAAAGTTCCTTACATCTACAACCATGTGAGGTTTCAGTTCAACTCACAGTATCGCAATAAGATCAACATCACAAGCTCAACTCATGTCAGGACCTTTCAAGGTTTAATTTTCCACTAGTCTGACATGATTTTACTCATATTTTTGGGTCATTGTAATGTCATAGGGTTTGGTTCTGTTTCAGCTTTTTTTTTTTTTTTTTTTTTAACCGGGTATTTTTTTTTTTTTTTCAACCCCAAAAAATTAATTTTTTGTTT